AAATGTTTTGCTTTTTAAGGTATTTTTCGTTTTGAGAAAGAAGCAAAATCAGATTACTTTTCTTCATGTTTACCATCATACTATCATGGCAGTCTTCTCGTGGTGCTATTTGAAATTCCTGCCTGGTGAACAAGGTGTTATCATAGGTTTCTTGAATTTTTTGGTCCATGTTATTATGTACAGTTATTATTTGATTGCGGCTCTTGGCCCTAAGTACAAAAAGTATCTTTGGTGGAAGAAATATATGACTTCAATTCAGCTGGTAATTAACTTTTGTATAATTGACTGTTAAAGCAAATTACAGAAATTAAACAAAGATGTTTATAATATTATAAATATGAATTTTTTAATATTATAAATATATCTAATAATATTTTATATTACGTTCTATCGTAATATTTTTAACAACATACACATGACAGAATTTTGTTATAAATGTCTGTGTTATTTTTCTTTGTTATTCTTTTTTGTTAATGTCGTAAAATAATAGTATCTATTAATTTAACCAAAAATGATAGGATGTTTTGCCAATATCTATTAATTTAATTTATATATAATATATTTTTAATTTAATTGTTTGTCAAATAAAATAAACAAATTACGGAAACGTTAGCTATACAAATCAAATTTAATAACTCTCTAATTCTGTTTCAAATTTCAGCTGCAGTTTGTTTTAATATTAATTCACCTAATATTAACATTGATTATGGATTGTCGAACACCAAAAGCTCTGACTTATTTCTTCGTAATAGTTACTATAAGTTTTATGTATTTATTTAACGACTTTTATCGTCAAGCGTATAAGAAGAAAATGAAGTAGTAATTAGTTATAATTATTACACTTTGCAAATAATTAATAAATTCGACAAAAATAAATGTATATATAATCTATCTTTATCTAAGTTTTATATAAATAATAAAGGAATAATATTGTTAAGGAAACACAGAACAAAATATATGGCTACAACCTACAATGCAGCAATTTAATTTAATGTTATGTCTTTTCTTTCTTAATTATTTATTTATTTATTTATATCTAAAAATTAAAATTTATTTATTTTATTACATTTTTATTTCACTACTTAAGCATTTATTACAAAAAAATCCACATAATTTTTTTTAGCTTCTTCCGGTTTGACCGAATATAATTACAATAAAGATCTTATTAACTTTTAAATTTTTCTATACAAACTATATATTTTTAATTTAAAAATTTAAATAAAATTTAATTTGATAAAAATTTAGTTCAAAAAAATATACATAGATATGTATATTTCTAATATGTCTTAATTAAAATTACTTTGTTATACGAAAAATTACATATTTTAAATAATTTAGACAATACAAAATGTGTATGAACAATATAAAATATAACAAAAAAAGAAACTTATATAAGAACGATATAAAATTTTATAATGGCACATAGCAAACACGAAGACATGGGCAATGTGTATGATACAAATGGCATGAAAAAAATCAACATCTTATTCAAATTTTATGTCATTAATTACAATTGGTAAGCATACTTTGTTCTTTAGATCTTGTCTACAGCTTTCCAATGACAATGTTTAGTCTATTATAAACTATGTATTTTTCACGGTAACTATATTTATTATTTTCTTAAATAAGCAAAAGTCAAATTTTGCGAAAATTTTGTTAAAAGGTAAAATAAACAGTTACAACACAATGTGTCATAATAATGATATACTTTTATTCTATAACAAATTACACGCATAATATATAATACAAGATTGCGGTTGACATAATTAGTTATCCATCCAAGTGAGGCCGTAGCATTTAAGCAATCGACCTTATTGTTCTGAAACTGCAATTCTTTGAAATCGAATAATTTCGAAATTAAAAGAAACATAGCAGCTGATAATTATTTACATTAAGAATCCCCCATTTCAGTATTTCCAAAGCATAGTACGCCAAACCTTACGCATATTTTATTTATCCCAAGATATATTAAAATTGTTATAAAATTATTATTGAAATATAAAATGAGATGAAGATGAAAAGAAGAAAGAAGAAAGATAGGAAATTATGAGACATTTTATGAGGCACTAAGCAATTGACGCAAATTAGCAAGCAAACTTAAACCCATATTTTTTGGATTTAATTAATCATTATTTTTTATATTAACGCTTTTTTACGGCGTACATCCGAAATTGATTTTCCTCGTTTAGATTAAACATTTATTTTTTTTTAATTTGCATTAAAATTTATTTTCAATTTCTATATAAAAAATTAAGATTAAAAAATGTAATAATCGCAATCTATTGCAGCGCCACGTACTTTTATTATCAAAGTGATATAAACAATGAGATAAAAAACTTCTTTAATAAACTAAGCATCTAATTGTAAGTTTCATTAAATATTTTTGAAGAAGTATTAATCTAAGAGTTTAAGTAAACAATTTTATAACATAAATTTTTGTAATAAATTAGTAGATAATATATATTTCTATAGAAAAAGATTTGATATCAAAATTTCTTAAGTGTAGAAAAAATGAACATATATTGCTTAAAAAAAGTCTAATCATAAAAATATAAATGTTAATTGAGCCACAAGAAACTATCAACTTTTGGATACCTCGAACTTGTTCAAACTTACCTAAATAATATCTAATCTTACAAATTAAATATTTATATTTAGTTATGTATAGTTTCTCATTTAAAAAGCAGCTCTGACAAAGAAATATTATCCTTGAAATGCTTTTTTCTGTTTTCGTAACTACGTTCAATTAATTGACATATTTAAAGTTTATGAATATTGTTAATATCACGTACCTATATATGTATATGTATATCATTGTTATCTTATTCAAAATGACGATTAGTCATATATACTCCTTGTCTTTATAACGACATCTACAACTGTTTGACATACAGATTTGATTATTGACTTATTCCGAACACATTTGACGCGTAACTTGGAAAACTACTATTCGAAATCTCGAACGCCTATGTTGTATACCGAGCATATATTCATTATGTACACCTGATGACATCTAATGAAGATATTCTCAGCAGAATTCTAAATTATTTTCTTTTTCGAGCGTCTTTTATCAATAGAGAAAACTTAATAATCTCAAGTTTAAAATTTTTTGTTTTTCATATTTGTGATTTTGAAAACACTTTTAACAGTTATAGCCACAATTTTGCTGGTTTCATGAATAACTTAAAATTTTATGAATACTTTTTATTTAAACGGTATATTTTATATCTCTTAGAAATATATCTGTTTGTCTATATTACGGTAATAATAATATAATAGTTTATTAATAAGAGTTTATTGCTAGACAAGAAAAAGATTTTTTCTAGGAAAAAAATGCAATATAAGATAAAAAAGAATATAATACACATATTTAAGAGTATCTCCAATAAACTTCATCATCGTGTTGCATCAAACATCACACATGTCAAGATAGCAAAACATAAATCATTGCACCATTCTTAGAAGTAATGCGTTTGATTCACAAATTTTAATGAACGGTTTCATCCTACCTCCCATATTGGTATTATTAACCATCGATTACGCATTTTAAACAGTGCTCAAAATACGCAAAAGAATACAGAGATAGAATGTACCGCCCAATTGCAAAATGACAATTGAGGAAAGTTTTACATTATTGTAAATTTGAAAATATCTCTCTAAATTCTTCATTAATACACATAAGCGATTAATTTACACATTAATCGTAAAATTGTACGCATTAATTAATAATACCATTCTAGTACCGTGATTGAGTCTAATCGTGTGATTAATCCTTAAATGCCGCCTAGGGTCCAACGGACCCCAGACCCTTTACAATGTTATATTTTCAAATATTCTTGCCAAAAATGGAGCTCATGCTCTCATTGATGATAGTTGAGTGATTAATCTACCCGTTTGTACACTTAGCAGTACTCAGTTTACTTAATTTTTTATACTATGTTGAAATTGAAATTTTAACAATATAAGTATTTTATTCTTTTTTCTAAGCCTTGAACAACATTGAAAAAAATTTTTATAACTAAAGATAAAAAAATCAATGAGTAAGGAGACATTTTTCATGCTGGGGTCTTTTAGACCCCTCATATGTCATTTACGAGATTCTTGAGAGGTGTGGCATTTAAGGGTTAATTACAAGATATGTCGCTTATGTCATACATAACTCTTAAATGCCACACCTCTCAAGAATCTCGTAAACGAGGGGTCTAAAAGACCCCAGCTTGAAAAATGTCTCCTTACTCAATGATTTTTTTATCTTTAGTTAATTGAAAATTTTTTTTAATGTTGTTCAAGGTCTAGAAAAGAGAATAAAATGCTTATATTGTTAAAATTTCAATTTTAACATAGTATAAAAAATTAAGTAAATTGAGTACTGTTAAGTGTACACACTGGTAGTTCAATCACTCAACTATCATCAGAGGGAGCATGAGCTCCATTTTTGGCGGAAACATTTGAAAATATATAATTGTAAAGGGTCTAGGGTCCTCTGGACCCCGGGTGGCATTTAAAGGATAAGGTACAAAACTATTAACTTGTCGTCACAGTCATCCACTCGTTTCTATTCGTACCCTCCTCACGATAAACCGCAATTTAATTCGCGATTATACCTTTACAACTAAATCTGTATAATCCTACAAGCGACTATCGTTGTCAATTAATATACTTACTACTGTAAAGCTATTAAACCGACCACAATAGTCTTTTAAAAACGGAGATTATGACAATAGTGTTTTAAGTGAACATTTCTCGGTATATATCCTCTGCATTCCATGAAAAATGTGGCAGTTCGATTTTCTGAATAATTAATTTTCTGAAACCCCTCATTCATGAAATTCTTCAATATTGTTGCATAAAAATAATATTACTTTATATAACAATGACACGAGTGATACGATGTGTTACGCATTCGGCGAAAAACAATCTTCTCATGTAACAATGAAAATTTTATGATATTGATTATTTAGAATTTGATGACATATAAATCATAAATTATAAGTCATAAGAGATAAAATATTGTTTTGTGCATTTCAAAAATGCAGGACAGGTAATATTTATTTTTAATCTAAAAAATCTGCGGTTTCAAAATCGTAAATTTTTAACCGTTAAACTTTGTCAACAGGCTGCAAGATATTCCGTATCATTTAAAATTATTAATATAT